CAGCCTCGCCCACAGTCTTGATCACTTCGTCATAACCATCACACGCTTTCAACCACGCCCAAATCCTCCGTGACGTTATCATGCACTTCACACGCCCACATCATCATACAGATCACACGCCCACAAACCATCCTGTAAAATCATCACATCTGACCAACATTATCTTCCCCAAAGCATATACGTATTTATTATTCATTCTCTCTTCATTTGTTTGACTTTAAATCAATCTCGAACAGCTCAGTCTTCCCAAATGTTGCATAACTTGCTTTAATTGAGTCAGTGTTTCGCTCTGTGTAGTTCTTATTCCAGTCATCATGACTTGGATGAATGAGACACATGTGCAACAGATGAGTATCTTCATTGTCGAAAATTTCTCCTGCTGAGGTTTCTTCAGTCGACTACAAAGACGACTTAAATACTGAAAATAGCAGAAGCAGTGAAGAGGGAAATATGTTTTGGTTAATCTCTGTCTTAAAGAAGAGTTAATTCTGATGTAGTCTTACTCATCTACTTGTGAGTATTTTATTCCGTTAATGTAATGACAATCATCATGACTTGATAAAGTTCTACACAGAGTCGAAACGTTGTCCGTATAGAAGCCTCTTCTGCAACGTATTTTCTCTTCCCTATAGTCGGCAGCTGTTTGGATTCCACTGTCTTCACCTTCCTAGAGTTTAATGGATTCCTCACTCATCATCCTGCCAAATAAACGAATTTACTGACTCCTCACATTTTTTTCAAATTTAATTCTATAAGCCTATTCACCATCCGCATCTATCTGCATATTTCTATGCTCCTAGAATATCTTTATCACCAAGATACCTCTACAAGCCCTCACGAATTATCCTATGACTAATATACCTCAATAGGCCTTGAATTTTTTTTTTCCGCAACATTTTTTTTCATTTTTTATCACCAGTATTAACTATTAAATCCCTAGAATTATTGTATGACAAAACGTATCTGTAATAGATCTCCAGAAATAATGTCAGTTTAAATTATTTGATTAGATATCTCATATAGAATAAAAAGGCATAGTACCCTGACTGGAACAAGACACTAATAACCCAAACACAGGAGACTGAAGCTTATGATGACGTTTCGGTCCGACTTAGACCATTAATTAGATTAGTTAATAGTCCAAGTCGGACCCAAACGTCTTAATTGGTTTCAGTCACATATGTCCGGATTATTTGTGTAGATATCTCATAAACCTTTTATCATCTCTGTCATCATCTTCTCAATATTTGTACTTTCACCAAGCAAACCACACTCTTTACCTCGCCAATCTTACCTCCACCATATCAATAATGATCTTAATCTCAACAAACTTACCATCATAACATTAATCAAGATATGCAGTTGGCAAAGCCTATCTTACCATATCGACTTTCATTCTTATATTCCCAAAAATGTTTTACGCTGTGAATAAGACGCATGTGCAACACTCGGGTATATTTATTGCAAAAACCACGGGTTTCTGCAGTTTAAAATAACGCTGGATACAATAGAAAAAGTAATTTAAATGTGATTAGACAGTCAACCTTGCCAGAAAGTAGTCAGTCCATCATAAGTTGGTGATGTCTTACGTCAGACCCAATACTGATCTCACTTAAAATGCTTCTTTCGGAAAAATAATGATGTATGTTATGCCCAGAATACCTTTACTACGATAATAAAGCTCTGTGTCTTTAGTTATCTGTTAGTTTTGATATTCTCTCAAAATCGTCCAGCATTCCTGCTTACTGCTATCTAGGTCTTTTTCCTTTTGATTATATATTTCCAAGCCTAGATTAGATGCAGATGGATAATTACATACAGAACCATTTCCATGGGTCTACATAGAAATAGTTCTTTATATAATTATCCACTCCCATGTCTAGTTTCTCACCATCACCAGCATATCCAACATCACCATAGATTTATATTCCTGTGATAACTTCGTATATCTGACATCAGCCTGTGATGACAAGGTATTTATTCCCTACTTAATCATCTTCCTGATTCCTATGGTTGGCTAATGGGGCTTAAAGCCTATCGACTTCACGGGGGTCAGTAATGTTTCATGTTACCTGCTTACCACCAGTCTAGTTTACTTTAATCGCCAACGTAGAAATTATAGTAAACTGTCGGTATATACTGAGAGACATACACATCGCTGTTTATATATGCTATCTTACCTATTTACATATATAAAAGTGAGATAATGGGTATGTTTTTAATTTCGAAGATATGCAAGAGCCTATGCCAGGGGAATTTTGAAACAGGCTTTTCTTTCCAATACCAGTTATACTAAAATTATATAGCGGATTACGTACAAGAGGAGTATTGGCAACACAATATCTACTCTTTATTTACCTGATAATTTTACCTAATAACGAGCAGAAACGCTTCCTCTGAACGTATTTCCTTGGACTTCATCCTCTTTTCTGCAACATTGCAAGCTCCTGATGGTGTGTTGATTGCAGCACGAAATGCCTAGATCTATAATTCAACTCCCCCCGTGATTGATTTGTGTATATATATATATATATATATTATTATATATATATATATATATATATATATATATATATATATATATATAATATATGTATATATATATATATATAATATATATATATATATATATATATATATATATATATATATATATATATATATATATATATGTCTTTATTTATGTCTTAATTTGCTCGACTATATTCTATTCTACCTCACTATGCATTATTTATATTATCTTTGTCTTACTCTCTCTCTCAAAATAGTCTATTTCAGTCTCACTCTGCTTCACCACAACATATTTCGATCTATCATACATCTATTTTCAACGATCATGGATAGGGCTGCGGGGGCGCTAACCCCCAGAAATCCCTCCATATAGACACCATCTTCATTCATTTCCCCCACACCTTACCCTATGGATCCTCATATAAGCACCATGAATTTCTCTACCACGTTTTATCTTAAAATAAGAAGTCACCCAATCATTTCCTCATTAACCTGTTAGTTGTAATCATATTTGTAACCTCAAACTTTTCATTGTATATACATATCAAAATATAAATCTGTGTATTATATTACTCTCAGATTTTCACGTACACTTACTGTCACCAATTAATTTTGAATCCATCAAATGATTTTTGTACTTACTAATTAGTTTTGTACTTAGATAACTGTATATTTCGTAACTATATACATTTATGTGACCTATGTAGAATATTTATATAAGTCTAAATATCTATCGCACAAATTATGTCTGAGTAAACATAGCAATACAGACAAAAATGTCTTATAGAGTAGATTTCCTCTAATAATGTTGTAGTACAGAAACAAAATGCATAACATATCCATAGCCATTGTTGTTATATTCCGCATTTCCGTTATTTTTTTCCTCAGAAAGCCACAACGAAATATGTATTGTCTTTATGTCAGATTCCGGGAATCACGCTAAAATTCAAATCATTTTTTTTCACTAAGAATAATCCACACTACTAGAGACCTCTCATCATATCTGAGAGTCTATAGTAAATAGTAAATACAGTAGTCCCCCGTATCCGCGGGGGATACCTTGTAACATCTTTTATGGATACCTGAAACCGTGGATAATAGCGAACCCTACACACACACACACACACACACACACACACACACACACACACACCACACACACACACACACACACACCACACACACACACACACATACACACACACACACACACACACACACACACACACACACACACACACACACACACACACACACACACACACACACACACCACACACCCACACACACACACACCACACACGCCTAGGACAAAATGGTAACTAACACACACACACACACACACACACATATATATATATATATATATATATATATATATATATCTAATATAGGGAGGTACAAACCTCTAGAACTGTCCTAGGGACCCTCATCCTCAGAGAAAAGAATAAACTTGCTTCAGGGAAAACTCAAGGTTCTCACTGAAGCTGTTTGAGAATTTTCTCCTACCACCCCCTATATTTAATTAATATATATTTTATTTAAAGACAAAATACATTGACAAAACATTCACAAAGATACAATAGAAAGTAAAACAACATAGGTAACTCAGAGCTACATCTCGAATACTTCGTCCAGCTACCCGGCGGTGGGCCGCGTGCCCAGAATGCTGCAGGCATTTCCTCTCTGGATCGCAACACTGAGTCTCTGAAAAAAGAAGCTGGTCACCCTGTGGTCCTTGGTTTCTATGATGAGCTTTTCACCCAGCTCTTTGAGGAACTTTAGAACACACTTGACCCATGCTCCAAGGGTCACCGACTCTACTGGGATGAAGTTATAGCAAGGGGGAAGGTCTTCATATTTGCGGATCTTCTGGGTCTCGCTGTGACAGGCAGCTCCACCCCCTTCCACTACGGAGTATGGCAAGTAGGTATTTGCCAATCTGGCGGCACAGGTGTAGTCCCAGGAAATCTGCTTAATATATATATATATATATTATATATATATATATATATATATAATATATATTATATATATATATTATATGTCGTGCCGAATATGTAAAACTGGTCAATAAGCAAGAACTCATTTAAAATTAAGTCCTTTCCAAAATTTTCTCTAATACGTTTAAAGATATATTTTTTCATTAATGTTAATGTAAAAAATTTTAATTTTGCACCAAAAGAAACTTAGAAAACTCACCTAACCTTATTATAACAAGAACAATTTATTTTAGCCTAACCCAACTAAATATATTTTAGATTTGTTTACAATAATTTAATACTAAACAAACACAGTGAAATGTATTTTTTTCGTTAGGTTCAGATTGATTTTGCCGAAATTATTGCATACACAAATTTTCACTTGTCCTATATGGCAAGATGAGCGTTGCTATTTAAGCCAAGATCGCAAGTTCTGCCTATTCGGCACGACATATATATATATATATATATATAATATATATATATATATATATATATATATATATATATATATATATATATATATATATATATATATATTATATATATATATATATAATATATATATATATATATATATGTCTTGCTGAATATGTAAAACTGGTAAATTAGCAAGAACTTATTTAAAATTAAGTCCTTTCTGAAATTTTCTCTTATACGTTTAAAGATATAATTTTTTCATTAATATTAATGTAAAAATTTTTAATTTTGCACCAAAAGAATCTTAGAAAACTTACCTAACCTTATTATAATAAGCGCAATTTATTTTAGCCTAACCCAACTAAATATATTTTAGATTTGTTTACAGTAATTTATTACTAAACAAACCCAGTGAAATATATTTTTTCCATTAGTTTCAGAATGACTTTGGCGAAATTATTACATACACAAATTTTCGCTTGTCCTATATGGCAAGATGAGCGTTGCTATTTAAGCCAAGATCGCAAGTTCTGCCTATTCGGCACGACACACACACACACACACACACACACATATATATATATATATATATATATATATATATATATATATATATATATTATATATATATATATATATATATATATATATATATACATACATATATATATATATATATATATATATATATATATATATATATATATATATATATATATATATATATATATATATATATATATATATATATATATATGTCGTGCCGAATAGGCAGAACTTGCGATCTTGGCTTAAATAGCAACGTTCATCTTGCCATATAGGACAAGTGAAAATTTGTGTATGCAATAATTTCGCCAAAATCATTCTGAACCTAACGAAAAAAATATATTTCACTGTGTTTGTTTAGTATTAAATTACTGTAAACAAATCTAAAATATATTTAGTTGGGTTAGGCTAAAATAAATTGCTCTTGTTATAATAAGGTTAGGTAAGTTTTCTAAGATTCTTTTGGTGCAAAATTAAAATTTTTTACATTAACATTAATGAAAAAAATATATCTTTAAACGTTTAAAAGAAAATTTCAGAAAGGACTTAATTTTAAATGAGTTCTTGCTAATTGACCAGTTTTGCATATTCGGCACGACATATATATATATATATATATATATATATATATATATATATGCAAAAAAACCACTCTGAAAGAATAGAGAAATTCCAAGCGCTTTCGTGACTACTCACATTATCAAGGAACTATGAAAGTAAAGCATCGAAGGAAACTATATAAGGGGTCTGGCCAGCACCTCACTATCAGATCCCACAACGGTTAAACACCTGACGCGCGCCGACCCAACTTGGATAGGTCCTTTGCACAACTCACCCACAAACTATTCTACCCAAGAAAGTTGTATTCAAAAAATCTTGATACAGTAAAAAACTTTTGATAAAGAATTCCCCCCAAAATGCTGATGGATGTGTCTATAAGATTCCTTGTAAAATTTGCGATAAAGTTTATTACGGTCAAACTGGTAAAAATCTCGAACTAAGATTAAAACAACATAAATATAGCATTAGAACTGGACAAGATTCCAATGCTCTATTTATTCATGTAAGAGATTTTAACCATCCAATTGATTTTCAAAAAGCTGAGAAAGTAGTATCAAGCAAGTCCATGGTCGACAGGAATATAATTGAATCTTGTTTCATAAAAAGCAGTTTTGACAATAATATGAATATTTCCTTTGGTTTATATAAATTAGATCCATTTATAATTAATAGAATTTTGGAAGAATTTAATAATACACTGGACAAATAAAAACTTTTAAATTTTCTTGGGTAGAATAGTTTGTGGGTGAGTTGTGCAAAGGACCTATCCAAGTTGGGTCGGCGCGCGTCAGGTGTTTAACCGTTGTGGGATCTGATAGTGAGGTGCTGGCCAGACCCCTTATATAGCTTCCTTGGATGCTTTACTTTCATAGTTCCTTGATAATGTGAGTAGTCACGAAAGCGCTTGGAATTTCTCTATTCTTTCAGAGTGGTTGTTTTGCATATTCTGAAATCACATGTTTACTGTGATCTTATTGCATATATATATATATATATATATATATATATATAATATATATATATATATATATATATATATATATATGTGTGTGTGTGTGTGTGTGTGTGTGTGTGTGTGTGTATTTGTGTGTGTGTGTGTGTGTGTGTGTGTGTGTGTGTGTGTGTGTGTGTGTGTTATTTTACATTTGCATACACCTATGATAAAGTTTAACTCATAAATTATGCAAAATAATTTTAGAATTATCACTTTTTCACCAAAGGGAAGCATTTCACAGCTTCTCTGAAGAACTGCTCGCACCACTACTGTCGCACTTTGGTGCCATTATTAAGCAAAATTAAGTGTTATTTTTGGGCCACTGTAAACCGTGGATAACTGAAACAGTGGATACCGAAAATTAAGTGTTATTTTTGGGCCACTGTAAACCGTGGATAACTGAAACAGTGGATACCGAAGCTGTGGATACTGGGTTCTACTGTATATGAATAATTTTCAGATTGCAGAATGCTGATTTCTCTTGCA